TTTTCTTTTAAAAAATCCTTCCATTCCTAATTTCAAGCAAAAATCATATAGCAACAAGAAATTTAAATTTATATTGAATATATGTTTTGTTTTTTACATCAAATTGCCAAGGTACATACAAAATAAACTCAAAAAGACTAATGGGTTCCAAAATAGTAAAAACTATAAAAGTTTAATAAATACTATTATCAGGTACTGTAAACAGTAGTCCTCCTATTTATTGTTTTTTTAAAATAGTAGGTAGACTGATAGAAAGAATGAGGCTGGCCAGTTAGCTCAGTTGGTTAGAGTGGTGTTGATAACACCAAGGTCAAGGGTTTGGATCCCTATACCAGCCACCCACCAAAAAAAAGCGTAATTAGAAAGAATGATACAAAGAATATCCACCATCTGGTCAAAGAAATGGAACATGATCTTACTTATAAAGCTCCTGTGTCCTCCCTCTACCCTCAGAAGTCACCACCATTCTGAATCTCGGGTTAATCATTTCCTGACTTTTCTTTGTAAACATTACTAAATATATGAGTATTTGCATTACCAAACATATAATGTTTAATGTTGACTATTTTTGGAATTTATGCAAATACAATCATGATATGAGTTCTTTTGCAAGTTGCTATTTTCATTCAACATCTTATTTCATGTGGAACATTGTTGCATCTGTTGTGATGTCATGCACTCTTACTGCACTTGGTATTCCACTATATGACTATACCACAATTTATTGGTCCATTTTCCCACCAATAAGCATCTGGGTTGTTTCCAGTTTTTTGCTATTCTAAACAATGCTATTTTCTTGTACACGTCTCCTGGTACATATATATGAGTACACTAGATTCTCTAGGGTGTATGACCAGCAGTAAAATTGCTGGGTCATACAATGTAAGTAACTGTGATAAAGTTTTTATTATCTTTGTTAGTAGATAATGCCCAATAGCTTTTCAAAATGGTTGTAACAAATTATACTCATGTACAAACACTATATGAGAGTTCCCACTGCTCTATTATCCCCATCCTCACCAACACTTGGTGTTATCAGACTTTCTAATTTTTTCCAATCTGGTGAGGATTACATTCTTTTATTACTTACCCTCAAAATATCTCCTGTGAGGGTACCCCTACCTGGGCCCAGTTCCACCAGCTGGAAAGATGTACTTTTTCCAGTGGCTATCCATTCACTAATGAACCATATCCCTAGAAGCTGTGACAAGGAAAAAAATATACTAAAGTATTATAAAGTATAAAAGCATATCATAAAACTCCACATAAATACACACTTTACATCAGAAAGCAAAATGTTTGCTAACAACCATATGTATGTTATTTAATATATGCATATATGTTTACACACATAGGAACTACAGTGGATTAAATTGCCCCCCAAAGTCACTGAAGCTTAATCCTCACTATAACTGTTGAGGGTGGGAAATCCTATTATGTTAATTGAAAGACGGGGCCTTGAAGAGATGATTAGATTGTAAGGACCATGCCCTAGTTGATGGGCATAGTTCTGAGGACTTTAAAAGAAGGACATGTGAAAGTCTCTCTGCTCTGCCATCCTGCCATGTGAGGCCCTATGTTACTGCCAAGGAAGACCCTCACCAGATGTATTCCCTGGACTTTGGACTTCCCAGCCTCTGAAACTGTAAGCAATAAACTTCATTTTCTTACAAATCACCCACTTCCAGGTATTTTGTTATAAGCAACAGAAATAGAATAATACAGAAACTTTACTGGGACTATGTCACAACGTACACCATTTAGGAAGTTTAATAATAGGAGAAAATAGTTACAAGGCAGCTTCCACTATAAAAGGTCACACATACAATATATGCATGTACTGACACAACAAACTAAACCCCAAAAACATGTACAAGGAAAAAAATAAAGTAAAATAAAAGTCCCATGACACAGATAAGAGGATATCACTTACAGAAAGGTACTAGTATCTGAAAGCAAACAGATATATGAAATGCGATTTTGCCATTTCTTTATACTCATATGATTTAAATAATTACATGACTCTTAGACATGCTTTCCAATATTTGGATTTTACTTGCTCTTATGTACTATTTCCTATTTCTAAATTCATCAAAGTTACTTATAAAGGGAGACTTCAAAGGTAACTACAGCTCACTTATGGTTGGGGCTTTAGAGCTCATCTTGATTCCACTAGTTCCTCTGTTCTTTTCTATCTTTTCTCTCTTCCTTCTTGGATACTCTCTACCTCTTTCCTCACCTTTCCTGTTGTCTTTCTTTGTCTGCTGTTATATTACATCAGGTTTGCCTCTTTTCCATCCTGTTTATTTCCATCTCCTTTTTTTTCTTTCTTTTTGCCCCTCTTATCTCTCCATTTCCTTTTCTACAGTGAAGTATAAACTTTTTAAATGTCCTCTCTACCATTTCTCTTTTCTATTACCATTCTATTCCCTCAGTATATAAACTACTAAAAATTAACTTTTGATGAATCACAAAAAAAGATGTAAAACACTACTGTGGAATAATGCAATTTGATCTGCTCTCAAATGTTTATGACAGTAGTTTCTTTTATGGTTTACATCGGATATTACCTCCCCAAAGATCTGACTTATTTCAGGTGAAGTAATAAAATCTCCTTTTTCTCCTAGCATGTCACGGTACACATAATAACCCTGAATAAAAAGAGAAAACAAATTAATTTTCAAGTAAAGCTTTTTAAAACACCCCTCCAAAATCTTACATAATGTACACCATGAATAAGTATTTAGTAAGAAAGTTCTCCCCTCTAAATAAGCTAGATAAACAGTGACTTTACCTAAATTTTACAAAGTAATAGTCATTTTGCAGTGCTGGTAGAAAAACAATTACTCCTTGACCATAAAGGCAGAAGCCATGCAATGTCCACCTCTGCATACTCCCTCCCCTCCCTGCTCCCATAACCCAACACAGGGGCCTACCTCTTCAGCCTCCTCTCCAAAATCCTAACACTTTCTGTTTCAAATTAGCCATGCCTGCTGGTGATCATGGGAGTTTACTGTGTGAAAATTCACCCAGCTGTATACTTGTGAATCTGCTCAAATGCCATCTTTGCTGACCTCTTCCTCCAACCCTCCAACCTAAGACCAAATCCAGAGCTTCCTTTTCCATATGTCCATGTTCTTCAGCACAAGGTACACTTATGTGGGGAAGATCTTATTGATCTTCACGTCCCAAGTTTTAGCATAATGCCTAATCTTGAAGAAACACTCCCGAATTGTCTGTTAAATTCCTTATGCTTCCTAGCCCCTTATTCTACTACCTTACTCTTAGCAGGTGACCTGTGTTCCCGTCCCATGCAGAAATTAAAGAATGCTATAAAATATGACCTCCCACCCTACCTGACCTCCACCCACCTGTTCCCATTCCTTCCTTGAGATTCAAAGGAGAAATGCCTTCCCCTTCCCCTCTTATCCAAACCTAGTCCTGCCCCCTGGGCTCTGGATTGCCATTCCTCATATAACTCCCACGGGCCCTTTGCATCATCCCTTCTCTCTCACTTCTTCAACTTTTCCCTGTCAGCATTATAAATAAATCCAGTCACTCTCATTTTTAAAAACTTTTCCCTCCACACACCATCCCCCTTCTAGGCTTTCTCCTCTTCATAAGTAAGCACGTCAGGGGTATTTAACCTTTTTTGTGTTATGAACCACTTTGGTGGTCTAGCAAAGCCTACAGGCCCCTTTGTAGAATGTTTTCAAATGCACAGAATATAAAACGCACAGAATTACAAAAAAAATCAAATTGGAAAATACTTATCAAATGTTTTTTTAAAATCTGTGAAATTATATATACTTCTTTACTAGTGTATTAAAAAAATCATGCCACAGCTCTAATAATTAACAAAATTTTGAAGTATGGATGAACACAATGGTATTTTGAGATACCTGTGATCACTGTATTGTGATATACCAGTGATTTCCACTGATGACAAAGTCACAGGTATTGCTTATGCTACTGGTTGTTGCCTATGCTCATAACTGAAGAAATGCTAAATTTCAGTTAGAAGTTAATGAAAATAAAGGCGAAATTTTGTTTCCATCCAAACTCATGAACCTCCTGATTTCTATTCAAGGGTGCCTAAGTTAAGAACCTCTACTCTAAATTTTAGAGTTACCCCAAGTCTTAACTCTGGGAAGCCTTCCTTTCGCTAAGTATGCTCCCTGGTTCCTTGGCTTTAAACACCACCTATATGATATCAACCAAATTTATATATGCATACTCAATCTTCCTCCGAAATACCAGACTCTTATAGCCAATTGCCTACTTACTCTCTCCACCTGGATGTCATCGCCAACACGGTATGTACAAAATTCAGCTCCTGATGTAGACCCTCTCCCCAGTATTATTTTTTTTCTGTCTTTTTGGCAGCTGGCCAGTAAGAGAATCGAAACCCTTGACCTTGGTGTTATAACACAGTACTCTAACCTACAGAGCTAACCAGCCAGCCTTATCTCCATCTTAGTCTCAGTAAAAGGCACCACCATCACCCAATTGCTCAAGCTAAAAGTCTAGGAGTCAGTTTTGCTTCCTCTCTTTTCACAGCCTTTCTAAACCTAATCCCTCAGGAAATCCTGTCATTCCAAGACATATTTCTAAACCTTCCACTTCTCACTGCATTTCTACTACCACCACAATAGTCTAAGCTGCCTAGCTTGCAGCACTGCCCACAAGAATTAAAACACCCCTGCTTCAGTAAACCTTCAGACACTTGAGTCACTCCACCACATCCAACAGCAATAGGCCAAACCAACCCCATATGAAATATGAGATGTCATATTTCAGCCCAGCAAAACGTGAAATATTCTAAAATAAAGGACTATAGGCTTTATAGAGCAGACAATCAAATACAGGTCAGAAAGCTGTGACAATGTTTAATCCTAAAACCATAAAGAGCCAGACTTTACAATCGCAAGAAGAAAACGCAAAATATGCCTCCAATGCCAAATAAAGCCATCCCAACAAAGACAACTTTCCAGGCAGTAAACTCTTATTTCCAGTTGCCTAGTGAAGATTTACACCTAAGAGTCTCATTTACACTTCAAATTCATACATCAGGCTGAACTCTTCATCCTTTCCCGCCCCTGCATTCCCTTCTCCCAGAGCAATGACTCCACCGTCTACCACAAGCCCAGGTCAGAAAGACACCCTTCCCCCATCTCATAATCCAACCGGTTACATTTTGTCTCCTAAACACTCTGCAATTTGTCCTCTCCTCTTTATTGGCACTGCCGCTAACTGCACCTAGCACTGACTGACACTAACCTATCTGTCCCGAGGTCTTCGGGGATGGCTGGTCTCCCGGAAGGCACCCGCACTGCCTGTGCTCAGGACCTTCAGGTTTCTCCCTCCTGGTTCGCACCTCGAAAACTTGCGAGGACAGGCCTAGTCCTCGGGTTCCCCGACCCCTTACCTTGGCCGGGTTGGTTAACACCTCCTTCATGTACTCAGCCACAGTGATGGGGCCCGTAGACTTTATTTTGTACATAAGATGCCGCAGCATTGGCGTCACCGAGTTGTTTTCTGCCGGCTCATTCCCGGAGCTGCAGTATTTCGCTCTCCAGATACGGGGAATGACTGCGAAAAGCACAGATGAAACAGGCCCCCCTATAACTTTCAGTGTGTACACGTGCAAGCAACCTGGGCACCTCCAGAGCAGCCTCATTACCTCTGAACCTCGCCCCAACCCCGGAGGGCGGACTAACGAGCGCAGCACACCCACGAGGCTCGGAGAAGGCAGGCGCCTTGCCCGCGGCCACAGGGCCGTCCCACGTCTGCGGCTGCACTCGTCTCACCCCGGGGCGCACTCAAGCTGGAGGTGAGCCCCCGAGCCTCCAGCTGAGGAACTGAGGAAGGCGCCCCCGGCGGTTTCCAGGGCAACCGGGGTTCAGCGGGCGACACTTACCCACGCGCGCCGCGACGCACACCCGACCCGCGCCGGACCTCGCCAGGACGCTCATGCCGAGCTTCGCTGGCGGCCACTCTCTGCCCAGGGCCTGGGGTGGGGATTGGGCCGTTTCTGGGAGGAGCCCGCCCCAGCGGAAGTAAGTCACGGCCAACAGGAAGTAAACTGCGGGTCGTGTGCGTGTGCTCTGCTAACCATGGCGGCCGCCAAGGAGGCTTTGGAGTTCCATGCCAAGCGTCCCTGGCGCCCGGAAGAGGCGGTAAGAGATCCGGACGAGGACGACGAGGGTGATAGCGGTGAAGCTGAGAATGGGTTCTCTCTGGAGGAAGTGTTACGCCTCGGAGGCACCAAGGTAACGGCCGCGGCTCCCGGGGAAGGAGGTCAGGCGCGGGGAGCCCGGAGTGGTTCCGCGTGTGGCCGAGCAGATGGCCCGCCGCTCCCGCGCTGCGGGGAGGGACGGCCTCCCGGACCCAGATCGTAGCCTTGCAGTGCGCTCGGCGCACTTCCCGCACTTCTTCCCACTTCTCTTTACGAGAGAAAAGTTTCGAATTGGACGTGTTAAGCTGTGTCACTATCATTCCAGCAGGTTGGAGAGGACTGAGTTTTCTTGGTCCTGACCTCGTGGCATCAGTGTTTTGAACGCCAGTGCTGCTGGAATTTTAAGTTCTGTTCCCAGGGGTACGTGCACATGCTCACTGTACGCTCTAGAAGCCCTCCTGTTTGGGGAATGTGCATCCTAATTCAGGGAGGGAGACGGTAAACAAACTCTCAGATATACACTACGTCAGACTCTGAATAGTGCTGTGGAGAAAAATAAAACAACGATGGAGGATAAGGAGTAGAGAGGGCGTTGCAGTTTTAAATGAGGTGATCTGGGAACGCATCACTGAGATGTTTATGCAAAAACCTGACGGAAAGAAGTGGGCCATGTGCCATTCCATTCAGATGGAACTGCAAAAGCAAAGTCAGAGGCAGAAGTGTGCCGAACCTTTTCCATGAACAGCAGAAATGCCAGGGTAGCTGAGGCAGAATGAGGTAAGGGGAGAATAGTAAGAAATATGGTAAGAGGGTGGGCTTTTGCTCTGTGTTTGATGCAAAACCATCGGAAAACTTCAACAGAATTTGGCGTATTTTTAAAAAGTACTGTTTTGTTTGAAGACCAGACTTTGGGGGTGAAGGGCGATTAAGAGACAGGAGAAATGCAACCCCGAGGGGCATTTTCACAGTTTGCTCTGTATTTGGGTTATACTTATTATTTGAATAGGCAATAAATACACGATACAAACTTTAAAAGGTTGTTGGTGAAAACAACATGGTGAAAAGTCTTTCCCACTTTTATCTCCAGCCATGCAATTTCCCTTGTAGGAAAAAAGTATTTTTACAAGTGTATTTTACCTCTTTTGGAAATATTCCATACTTTTACAAGAAAATACATACATATACTTAGGTATATGAAATATATGTGTTTTTTACACAAATGTTACCATATATAGGTATTCTTATCTGTATATTTTGCATTTTTTTCCTTATCGTCTTAGAGATCCTTCTGTATCGGTGCATGAAGTTCTGTGTCATTGGTTTTGTGGCTGCATAATTATTGTGACTTTAATTATTGTGTCTGTCTTAATTTAACCAGTCATTTATTGTTGATGTTTACATTGTTGCCAGTCTTTTGCTATTTTAAATAATGCTGCAGTAAGTAACCTTAAACATATGAGGGTACTTCCAAAAGTTTGTGGTACCTTTGTCTATGTTTTCCCACATTTGGAAGTACCCTTATATGTGTAATCTAAATTTGTAGAAACAGAATTTGTGGGTCAAAGGATATGTGCCTTGTAGTTTATGATTGAAGTTGGCAAATTGCCCTACATAGACGTTGTGCCAGTTTTTACTCACATGAACCATGTGTGAAAGAACCTTTTCCCCCACACCCTCTCCATCACCACCCATCATAATTTTATCTTTGCTTATCTGATATATTAAAAAATGGATGTATCATTGTGGTTTTAGTGTGGATTTATGTAAATGAGCATCTTTTCATATTTTCAAAGAATCATTTTTTTTCCCTAGGAACTGTTCATATCCTTTGCACGTTTTTCTATTGGGTTATTTGTCAGTTTCTTACTGATTTGTAGGAACTTCTGCGAAAAGGTATTAAACCCAATTACTTTGGTATGAGTTGCTCATATTTTTTTCTCCAGTTTTTCTATATGTTTCCTTTGTAAGAGAATGATAAATTTACTAATCCTTTCCTTTGTGGGCCCAGAGTTTCATATCAAATTTGAAAAGATTTTTCCTATTCTGAAATTATGTTTTTAATTATCTTGTGCTTTCTCTTATTATGTTATAGTTTTATTTTTCACATTTCAATCTTTCATCCATCATGTATTTATTTGGGGCTAGGGTGGGAGCCCAAGCAATACCATAATAACGCAGTTTCATTTCACTGATTTCAAAGATACAGGATTCAAATTAACTTTTGAAGTTTTGACTAAACTGTTGAATTTGTAATCTACCTTTAACTTTCTTATGTTTTTATGCAGCAAGATTACCTTATGCTGGCTACTTTGGATGAGAATGAGGAAGTGGTGGATGGAGGCAAAAAAGGAGCAATTGATGACCTTCAACAAGGTGAATTGGAAGCATTTATTCAGAATCTTAGTTTGGCCAAGTATACAAAAACTTTCTTAACTGAAGAAGATGAACCAGCTAAAAAAGAAAATGCCAGCAAAAAAAAAGCAAAAGTATCTAAAGTAGATAATAAAAAGCAAAATACAGCAGAAAGTGAAAGGACATCAATCAGTAAAGTGAAAAATAAGAATAGGCCAGAACAACGTTCCACTGAGAACAACAGTACCATACCGAAAGCAAAGAAAGATAAACAACAGGATGTCTTTGAATTTTTTGAGAGACAGACATTGTTACTCAAGCCTGGAGGCAAATGGTATGACCTGGAGTATAGTAATGAATATTCTTTGGAACCTCAGCCTCGGGATGTTGTGTCTAAGTACAAAATCCTGGCTCAGAAGCTGTATGAGCATGAAATCAACTTATTCAAAAGTAAGACAAATAATCAAAAGGGAGCCTCTTCTACCTGGATGAAAGCAATTGTGTCATCGGGGACCCTGGGTGACAGGATGGCAGCCATGATTCTTCTTATTCAGGATGATGCCGTTCACACACTCCAGTTTGTAGAAACTCTTGTTAACCTTGTTAAAAAGAAGGGCAGCAAACAGCAGTGCCTTGTGGCTTTGGACACTTTCAAAGAATTACTCATTACAGATCTTTTGCCAGACAGTCGGAAGCTACGGATTTTCAGCCAGCATCCTTTCAATAAACTAGAACAGTTGTCCAGTGGTAACAAGGACTCAAGAGACAGAAGACTGATATTATGGTATTTTGAACACCAGCTGAAACACTTAGTGGCTGAATTTGTGCAGGTCTTAGAAACTTTAAGTCATGACTCACTAGAAACCACTAAAATTCGAGCCCTTTCAGTGGCTCATGAGCTTCTTTGTAACAAGCCTGAGGAGGAAAAGGCTCTTCTTGTGCAGGTGGTAAATAAACTGGGAGATCCTCAGAACAGAATAGCCACAAAAGCCTCCCATCTATTAGAGACATTACTCTGTAAACATCCCAATATGAAAGGAATTGTGTGTGGTGAAGTAGAAAGGCTGCTCTTTCGCTCAAATATCAGTTCCAAAGCTCAATATTATGCAGTTTGCTTTTTAAATCAAATGGTCCTATCTCACGAAGAAAGTGAATTGGCTAATAAATTAATAACTCTTTATTTTTGTTTTTTTCGGACTTGTATCAAAAAAAAGGATATTGAGTCAAAAATGCTTAGTGCCCTTTTAACAGGTGTGAATAGGGCATATCCCTATGCCCAGACTGGCGATGACAAAGTGAGGGAGCAGGTTGACACGCTGTTTAAAGTGTTGCATATGGTGAATTTTAATACCAGTGTGCAGGCTTTAATGTTGCTTTTTCAAGTAATGAATTCTCAGCAGACAATATCAGATCGATATTATACAGCATTATACAGGTAAGTACACAGCATTCCAATATATGAATGAGGAATAACTTGATCTAGGATGTGTAGCACATGCAGTACCCCTCTGTGAGACAAGAGAAAGAGTTAGAAAACTGGATTTTAGGAGATAAGCAACTTGCTACTCATTAACTTTGAGTAAGTCACTTAATCTTTATTTCTCTGATGGACACAAACTATATTAGATGCTTTGAGTACACTTTTTATTATTTTTTATTTTGAGAAGTTGTTAAAATACAGAAAAATACCCCAAAAACATTTACATCCTACCACCTAATATTTCAAAATTAACATTTTGCTATATTGGTTTTAAATTTGGGGGGATATTAAAGAAATAGTGCAGGTATAATTGAAGTTTTCTTCTCCCCCTTATTCTTGATCCTGTATCTCCTTCCTCCTGTCCTTCATGCAGCCATTCAGTAATTCATCCAACAAGTATTTTTTGAGTACCTACATATGCTGCCCATGTTTCAGGTGCTTAGGATATGTTTCAGGTACACAGTGAACAGAAATCCTGCCCACAGAGGTGCTTACATTAATATTGGGGAAGACAGGATAAACAAGAAAGCATGTTTAATGTTGGGGGTTGCAATTTCAGGGGGTTTTTTTAACACTGAGATTAAGGTTTTGTTACTGAACTTTGCTACTGTCCTGCAACTCACCCATTGAGGCATACTTCGAACCGTGTAAACGGTTTGGAACGAGTATACAGCAAGCTATGTTTAAGAATTTAATATATTTCCTTCTAATTCATTTTTATAATTTTACATACATATATATTGTGAGAAAATGTAAAGTAGTGGTTAATATCTTCGACTTAAGCCACACTGCCTGGGTTTGAGTCCCAGCCATTAGTTTGTATTGTAACTTTGGGCAAATTACTTAATCCTCATTGGAAAACCCTAATGGATTAATCCCATTTTATCATGCCACAGTCACTCTGTATATTGGAGAGAAAAGCACCTGTCGCATATGTTATTACGAATATAATGAAACTTGCCCAA